TGTTAAAAACTCACCTAGAGTGCCCTCTGCTGTTAAAAACTAGCCTAAAGAGATGTTAAAAACTAGCCTAGAGCGCTGTCTCATGTTTAAAACTAGCCTAGAGCGCCGTCTGCTGTTCAAAACTAGCCTAGAGCGCCGTCTGCTGTTCAAAACTAGCCTAGAGCGCCGTCTGCTGTTCAAAGCTAGCCTAAAGCAATGTTAAAAACTAGCACAAAAGTGCTGTCTGTTGTTAAAAGCTAGCCTAAAGTATTGTTTAAAACTAGCCTAGAGTGCCGTCTGCTGTTCAAAACTAGCCTAGAGCGCCGTCTACTGTTCAAAACTAGCCTAGAGCGCCGGCTGCTGTTCAAAGCTAGCCTAAAGCTGTTAAAAACTAGCACAAAAGGGCTGTCTGTTGTTAAAAGCGAGCCTAAAGTGATGTTTAAAACTAGCCTAGAGCGCCGTCTGATGTTTAAAACTAGCCTAGAGCGCCACGCGCTGTTCAAAACTAGCCTAGGGCAATGTTAAAAACTAGCACAAAAGTGCTGTCTGGTGTTAAAAGCTTGCCTAAAGTGATGTTTAAAACTAGCCTAGAGCGCCGTCTGCTGTTAAAAACTAGCCTAGAGTGCCGTCTGATGTTTAAAACTAGCCTAGAGCAGCATCTACTGTTAAAAACTAAAAAAAATATAGCCTAGAGCGTGTCTACTGTTAAAAAATTGCCTAAAGTGATGTTAAAAACTAGCTTAGAGCACCGTCTACTTTTCAAAACTAGCCTAGAGCACCGACTACTGTTTAAAACTAACCTAGAGCTCCTATTGTTGTTAGAAATTAGCCTAAGTGATGTTTAAAACTAGCCTAGAGCGCTGTCTGCTGTTAAAAACCAGCCTAGAGCGCCACCTGCTGTTAAAAACTAGCCTAAAGTGATGGTTAAAACCAGCCTAGAGCGCCACCTGCTGTTAAAAACTAGCCTAAAGTGATGTTTAAAATTAGCCTAGAGCGCCACCTGCTTTAGAAGCTAGCCGAGAGCGCCGTCTGCTGCTAAAATGTCTAGTCGTGATTTTTTTTTAAATCTAAGAACCGAGTACCTATTAAACAGCACCTGAAAGTCCGGTTTTTGAGTCTACAAAGGGAGACACCCTGGTTTCAGACATGTGCTTTCACTGGAAGTGATGATGATGATGCTTTTGTAAACGGGAGGTGGTGTTGCTTAATTTTGCCTGTACAGTATGTAGTTTCAGCAGAGGCTCTTAATGGGCAAGTTTAGCTGTTGTGTTGTATATTAAAGACTACAATCTCTCTCATCTACAGCTCCAAAACACTTGTGTTGTCACTGATACTTCCTGTTATATTCTAGAAAGAAGAAAAACTCAAGAATGCTGGAAAAACAGCCAGTGACTACCAAATATTTGTTTTTTTGTCCTACTATGGATGTCAATGGCTGCATTTTTCAAGACATCTTGTCCAAACAGGAGAAAATGCATAGCCTGCATCCACTCGAGTGTGATTTAATGAAGAGTAAATGTTCATGTTTGGATGAACTGCCCCTTTAAGAGTATTAAGAGGTATTGGTCAGGCTGTCAGCTGTTATGAGTGGGCATGTGAAGTGGTCTCATCACTCGCTGTATTTTTGTATGTCAAAAGTTAGTGTGAAAAGCTGCGCTGTGATTGGATGAAGGCCGGGGTGGCCTGACTCTGTATTTGCTAAGAGTGAAAAACAGACTTCCCTCATGTGGGATGAAGACGCTGCACTGACATCTAGTGTTAGATGTGAGGTAAAAACAACAACAGAGCCCCAGCGGAGTTATTTTACCACACTGTAAAACATGTCTGTTAATTAATAGTTTGCGTATTTTGGGTTTATTTATGGTTGTGAATTGCATTATGGGATGCTGTTCTCTGCTCTGTTGACTTTTAATGTTGAAAATTCAACTCTACAGTTTAACAGAGTGGCTTTTATTGACATTTTATTCGTAATATAAAGATTAATATTTAGAGAAATAAGTTTGTAAAATACCAGAAAATGTGCTGCAGCTTATTACAGAATTTCTGTAGTGAAATATACAACACTAACTCAATCAATATAGCACTGCAGACTAGGCATGGGATGATGACCGTGTTCAAGGTATAACTCGATTTGGAAAAGTCAAGGATTTAAAACCGCCAACATTTTCTGTAATACCGTTCCTAAGGTATGTGTAAGAATTTTATTTACTTTTTGTTGTTGTTGTTGTTTTTTAGGACGACAACAGAATCTCCAACAGAAAAGATCTCCAAAGATGTCGTTTTAAATCGTAAAGAAATCTGTTTTTGAAACTAATGAAGACAGCAGAAGTCAATGATTCATTTCCAGTATTTAACCTGACATGTTAACTTCTCCATAATATTTTAAAATCTTTCCAAAAATAAAATGTATTGTGTTCAAAGGTGGAAACAAATTGTTTTTTTTTTTTTACGTAGACATTTAAAAAGAATATATTTTACAGCAGTAATCACAAGAGATGGGTGACTCAAGTCACATAAGTCAGACTTAAGTTGCAAAATTTAGGACTTGAGACTTGCTTGACAAATATCCAAAAAAGACTCGTCTTGACTGTCGTTACTTGAGACTTGGACTTGATTTAAATGACTCAAAATAACTTGTTTTTGTTAAATAAATAACTGTTTGTAACTCCCACCTATAGTAATCACAATATCGTGATACCGTGATATTTTTATCTAAGGTTATCATAGCGTCAGAATCTTATAGACCTTTTTCATGGCTGCTGCATGGAGGGCGCCATAGCGACCAGCGTCTTCCGGTAGAATGCTAAAAACTTCCGTTCACAGTGTGAACAACTGGTAGTTTGTGCACCGAAAATGGGTTTCAATAACGTTTTTAATGGATAACAGAGTGTTTTTGTGACACACAACTTAGAAATGTGTCTGTTAAAGCCGTTATAATCTGTCACATGTGGTTCAAGCGCATCAGAAATACGAGAAAAACATTCTCCTAGTTCACGTGTCTGCCGTCAGAAATACAGTGTGTGTGTGTGCGTTCCCGGCCTGTCAGCTGTTAGCTCAGCGGCTCTTTAACACAAACACACACACACACACAGAGAGAGAGAGATAGAGGAGCAAACTAGAGTACTGGCATGAAACTTAACAGGTATGAAAGTCGTGCAATTTACAAAAATGAGCAATAAAAGTCTGTTATTGATCCTCTGCTGGCTGATTTGCTGTTCATTCTAATCGCGAGCCGTTTGTGTTTTATTTCGTGTGTTGTTTTCACCACGGTTTGTGTTTTTTTTGTCATTTTGAAATGACACTAGCCTATATTTTCGTGTGTGTGTCAAACATTTTGGTGAACTACATGTGTTTGGGCTGGTTATTTATTTGAAATAAAGAGAAAATGTTGACTTTAGCGATGACGAGGCTTCATTTAAACTGCAGAAGATGCCGTCTGACAACGAGGGCAAAACGCCTCACAGCAGCTGTTTTCCATCCTATTAGATCGCATTTCTTTAAATGATCAGTCCAGGAGATGCTGCTGATGGACAACAGTATTAGTTCAAAGAGGATAAAAGCAGGTAAAATAGATTAAAACTATCGTTTCAAAGCTGTCCAAATGTGACCATTTACACGCATCAGCTGCCGACCAGAACTTCTTCGCATTCTCCTTGCGCATACACACAAAGCATCATGGGTAATTTTGCGTTCCAAGAAAAAGGTCTATACCAGCCCATGCCAACTGCAGACTCTTGGTGTAACGGATCACAAATCTCATGGTTCGGATCACACTTCGGTTTTTGAGTCACAGATCAGCAAAATAGAGGAGACAAATGTCTTTTGCGTTCCATTTATACAAATATATTATTGCAAACACTGTTGATTTAACAAACAGAACCTGTCATTTTAATAAAAATAAAGATCGAGAAAGAGCCAGCTGAAAAAAAAAAATGTTCAATACAGTAGGAAAAACCATCTTATATAGAAACTATAGAAAAGTGCCTTTAAATCACAGGTCTTCTCAGTGTTTAAAAACCATCCCATTCGCTTACACTTGTGGTCTTCACACTTAAGAGTGTGTGTGTGTGTGTGTGTGTGTGTGTGTGTGTGTGTGTGTGTGTGTGTGTGTGTGTGTGTGTGTGTGTTTGCAGACCCGCTGTGTGTTTTTAGCTGAGCGTCGCAGCAGGAGCAGCACATGCACATCACAGCTGTCCTCCAATAATTCTGTATTTACTGCTGTGTGCTGAACATCATCACACACTTGCTAGTGCTTGAGAGTTCACCTACTCTGACATGCACATCGCTCTTTATCTGAGATGTGTGTGCACTGCAAAAAATGCTTTGCTTACTTACAGAACTGTCTCTTAAAGTACTTTACATAAGCTTTAGTATTGAACACATTGTCCTGTTATTTTTCTGGGAGTAATATTTCTGAAGAAGCCCAGTTTGATGAGCTGTTGTCGGTGTCAGCTGAAGGATTTCCCCTGTGACACCAACTATAGGCGCTACGTCACAATCAAGCCCGCACAAGAGCAAGCTCCTGATTGGTTGATGTGGCGCAAATGTCCAAAGTTCAGATTTTCGAACTCGAGCAATTCGCACGAAACGCAGGTAAAGCGCGTCAAACTCGCTTAATCGTAATTGTTTTGGTGACTGTCACTTTAAATTCAAATGAGACAGCTCTTTTTCAGAAGAGGGCGGAGCTATGAATGCCTATGTGTCAGCATAGTGGCAGGTTCAAAACAAGACTAACCGCCTGTGCTGATGAGTGAGAGATGGTCAATAGTGGGCGGGGCTTATTTCTCTCTCTGATGACATCATACAAAGGGAGAATGTCAATCAAAGTGTTTCTGCAGACTGCTTTCATCAAGTCTGATTATAAACAATGCAGTTAACTCATGTTTACCATTATGAGCTGGTTATTTTCACAGGCTGTCCCCACACAACTGTGTTTAAACCCCTTATAAACATGATTTTGGCATCATAGTTCATCTTTAAAAAGAAAGCATATAAACTGTGCGTTATTTTTTGTTTTCTAGGCAGGAAATCATGAAGTGGAACGGCTGGGGTTACAGCGACTCAAGATTTCTGTTTAATAAAAAGGGTCAAGCAGAGTTCACAGGCAAACGGTGAGTGTGACGCACCAAACCAACATGAGTTAGACGAGATCATTCAACATACTGTCCATCTGCAGCCACTGGGGAATTCCTCACACTGAGTGTAACATAAAATGAATTTTAAAGTGTCCTTAATTCATTTATTATGCTACACATTACAGAATTGCGGATACATTTCAAGCGTTTTCTATTTATTTTTCTTATTAATGATATACACTCGCCGGCCACTTTATTAGGTACACTTGTCCAAATGCTCATTAACACAAGTTTCTTATCAGCCAATCACACTGCAGCAACTCAATGCATTTAGGCATGTAGACATGGTCAAGATGATCTGCTGCAGATCAAAGCGAGCATCAGATGGGGGAGGAAAGGAGATTTAAGTGACGTTGAACGTGGCATGGTTGTTGGTGCCAGACGGGCTGCTCTGAGTATTTCAGAAACTGCTGATCTACTGGGATTTTCACGCACAACCATCTCTAGGGTTTACAGAGAATGCTCCGACAAAGAGGAAATATCCAGTGAGCGGCAGTTCTGTGGGCGCAAATGCCTTGTTGATGAGGCCAGAGGTCAGAGGAGAATGGCCAGACTGGTTCCTGCTGATAGAAAGGCGACAGTAACTCAAATAAGCACTCGTTACAACCGAGCTCTGCAGAAGAGCATCTCTGAACACACAACAAGTCCAACCTTGAGGCGGATGGGCTACAGCAGCAGAAGAGCACACCGGGTGCCGCTCCTGTCAGCTAAGAACAGGAAACTGAGGCTACAATTCACACAGACTCACCAAAACTGGACAATAGAAGATTGGAGAAACGTTGCTGCTCTGATGAGTCTCCATTTCTGCTGACACATTCGGATGTCCGGGTCAGAATTTGGCCTCAACAACATGAAAGCATGGATCATCCTGCCTTGTATCAGCGGTTCAGGCTGGTTGTGGTGGTGTAATGGTGTGGGGGAGATTTTCTTTGGGTCCATTAGTACCAATTGAGCATCAACGCCACAGCCTACCTGAGTATTGCTGCTGACCATGTCCATCCCTTTATGAGCACAGTGTCTCCATCTTCTGATGGCTACTTCCAGCAGGATAACGCAGCATGTCTTGAAGCTCAACCATCTCAGACTGGTGAACATGACGATGAGTTCACTGTACTCAAATGGCCTCCACAGTCAGCAGAGCTCAATCCAATAGAGCAGCTTTGGGATGTGGTGGAACGGGAGATTGGCATCATGGATGTGCAGCCGACAAATCTTCAGCAACTGTGTGATGCTATCATGACAATATGGAGCAAAATCTCAGAGGAATATTTCCAGTAGCTTGTTGAATCTCTGCCATGAAGGATTAAGGCAGTTCTGAAGGCAAAAGTGGTCCAACCGATAAGTGTGTGTGTGTGTGTGTGTGTGTGTGTGTGTGTGTGTATGTGTGTATATATATATATATATATATATATATATAATTTTTTTGTTTGTTAAATAGTAATAGCAATTATATTCTAATTATTATTATTTTGTTAATATTGTAATTTTCCATGGTGTAGAAAATTTCTCTTCTGTGCCAAGACATTTTTCTGTGTGTTGACGCCATCTAGTGTCTGTAATCTGCATTGCTGTGTGTGTGTATGTGTGTGTGTGTGTGTGTGTGTGTGTGGACACTGGTGTGATCAGACAGACACAATGCAAATGTTTAAAAAAAATAGAAGCATTGAATTGCTTAATGACATGATTTTATTCATATAGTATGTACACAGTTTTAAGCCATAAAATCAGCATTTAGTGTGTGTGTGTATGTGTGTGTGTGTTGTCTTTAGGTATCGGTTGAGTGGGTTGATTCTGCCGAGTCTGAAGGACTGGTTTGAAGGGACGTTTGGAGCCAGTTTACAGCATAAATCTCCTGCTACTGTGAGTGTAATGGTGTATGTGTGTGTGTGTGTGTGTGTGTATTTGCATGAGTGAGGTTTCTGTGTGTGTTAGTCTGAAATGGCGGGGATGTGTTTGTCTTATGGTGTGTGTCTGTTTGTTTGATTTGGTCTGTATTTGTAATGTGTATGTGTGTGTGCAGTCGTCTCTGAATGTGAGCGCAGTGTCGCCTCCAAACCTGAATGAAGCATTCTCTGAGGATCTGAAAGCTGCAGGTCTGCTGGCGTCTCATGATGCGGAGGATCGGGTTTTCCGAGCTCATGGTAAAACACACACACACACACACACACACACACACACACTTACAGTTTCTGTTTCACGCACAGGCTTTTATTCAATTTTGCTTTCATTGTATAAAAGTTTACCAAACTTTCAAGCATGCACAGGGGAATTTTACTATGATTTACCTCATTTTTACAGGTCATGTGATCATTTTAGTTTTGATTTTATTGTTTTAGCTAAAAATTATTTAGTTCAAAGTGTTTAATATGATTTAATAGTAGAATTAAATAAATAATGAAATAGTAAAATAAATAAATAATTAAATAATAAAATAAATAAATAATTAAATAGTAAAATAAATAATTAAATAATTAAATAGTAAAAAAATACATGAATATATAAATAGTAAAAATACATAAATAAATAATAAAATAAATACATAAAAATTAAATTGTAAAATAAATTTATAAATAATTAAATAGTTAAATAAATAAATAATTAATTAAATAGTAAAATATATACATAAATAATTAAATAGCAAAATAAATATATAAATAATTAAATAGTTAAATGAATAAACAAATGAATGAATAAATAAACAAATAAATGAAAAGTAAAATAAATATATAAATAATTAAATAGTTAAATGAATAAATGAACGAATGAATAAATAAATATTTTGAAGAGGTTAGCGTTTTCTCAAATCTTACAGACTACTTCAATTATATAGCATCCTAAATCAACCTTTGTTCTTATGGATTCTCATTTGTGTGTCTTCTTAAAGTGTCTGTTTTCTTCTCCTCAGGTCATTGTCTGCATGAGATCTTTGCTCTGCGGGAGGGCAGGATCGGCCGTGTGCCCGACATGGTGGTTTGGCCCAGTGAGTGACTGAAGGCTTAAAGGATTACTCCACCTTTTTTCAAAAGTCCATTAGCAGTCCATGCAGTTAAACAGTGTACTATTTTTGAATCCATTCAGCTGATTTCTTGTTCTGGCGGAGTCACTTTTAGCTTAGCATAATGAATGGAATAAGATTAGACCATTAGCATTTAATAAAAAAAAAGGGTTTTGATCAATTTCCTTTTTAAATTATATCCTACAAGTATTAAGAGTTGACTTGAACCATTTTTTATTCCATTCAGTCGATTTCTTATGCTGGAGGGGTCGTTTTCAGCTTAGCTTAGCATAATGAATGGAATCGGATTAGACCATTAGCATTTCGTTATTAAATTTTTTTTGATAATTTTCCTATTTAAAGCAAATCCTATTATTACCCTAAATATTTACAGTTGACTTTAACCATTTTTAAACAATTTAGCCGACTTGTTCTGGGTGTGCCAATTTTAGCTTAGCATAATGATCGGATAGGACCATTAGCATTTTATTATAAAAATTTCAAAAAAGTTTTGATCATTTTTTAAACTAAAGCATATTTAAGAATTAACAGTTCACTTGAACAATTTTTTAATCCATTCAGCCAACTTTTTTGTTCTGGCTGTGTGAATTTTAGCTTAGCATAATTAATTAAATTGGATTGGACCATTAGCATTTCATTAAAAAATTTTTAAATAATTTTCCTAAATAAAGCGTGTGCTATTAAGTATCCAACAAGTATTAACAGTTGAGGAAGATTATTAAAATTAGTCTAATTCAAGTCTAATTCAATTCATTAAGCTAAGCTAACCTAAGCTAAGCTAAAAGTGACCCCACCAGAAAAAAATTCCTGAATTTATTCAAGAATGGTTCAAGTCAACTGTTAATACTTGTTGTATACTTTTAGGATACACCATAAATTATCGAATTAATTATTTTTTTTAAATTTAAGAAATGCTAATGGTCTAATCCGATTTTATACATTTTGCTAAGCTAAGCTAATAGTGACCTTGCCAGAACAAGAAATCGGTGGAATGGGTTCAAAAATGTTTTATGCCAAATGTTAACGTTTTAAAATGATACATTTTAAATAGGACAATTGTCGACTTTTTTATTTTTTTTATTTTTTATAAAATGCTAATTTTAAGAAATGTAGAAAATGAGCTTTAAAAACAAAACAAAAACAGTGGAATGTTCCTTTAAGATCCATCCCAGCTAATTAATATTTATGAACAGCCCTTTAATCAGAGGGAAAAGGGGGCATGTGTTGTCCTGTGTGCTCTGCTTTCTGATTGGTGAATTTCTGACAGGCTCATTTCAACATGTCAGATTGATTTCTGAGCTTTGATTAGCAAAAAAGCTCAAGCAGGCAGTAAATCACATTCATTCATCCAGAACACTCTCTCTCTGATTCCCATATAACCTCCACCGCTGGCCTGGATTTCTGGTTTATTCTGTAGCCAAGCAAAAAAATAAAGCATTCTTAAGGGGGCTAATAATTTTGACCATAAAACTGTTTAAATAACATTCAAGTCCATCCAATCTAAAAAAATAAACTTTTCCCAGAAGTCAAAATATTATAGGAAACTCTGTGAAAATGTCCTTAATCTGATGAGAAATATTTGGAACAATAATAAATATATTACAACAGCTACTTTTAATTGGTATAATATTGAGCACTATTGCTGTCGTTATTTGATTTTTGATTAATAAGGGAGTTTTTATTAACAGTTGACTTGATTGATTTTTTTTTTCAATCCAGTTAGCCGAATTCATTTTTTGGCTGTGACTTAGCTTAGCATAATGAATTGAATGTGATTAGACCATTAGCATGTCATTAAAACAAAACAAAAGAGTTTTTAAATTGTTCCATTTAAAGTATATTCTGCAAGTATCCTACAAGTATTAACGATTGACTTGAACAATTTTCTAATATATTTAGCCAATTTCTTTTCCTGGCTTTCACTTTTAGCTTAGCATAATGAATTGATTTGAATTTGACCATTAGCATTTCATAAAAATAAATAAAAATAAGATTTTGATCATTTTTCTGTTTAACGCATATTCTGTAGTTATCCTACCATTGACTTGAACCATTTTTAAATCCATTTAGCCGATTTCTTGTTCTGGCTGTCACTTTTAGCTTAGCTTAGCATAATGAATTGGATTAGACCATTAGCATTTCATTACAAAAAATAGATTTTATATTTTTCTATTTAAAGTGTATTCTGTAAGTATCCTACAAGTATTAGTAATTGACTTGAACCATTTATGAATCAATTTTAGCCAATTCTTTTTTTGGTTGTGGCACTTTTAGCTTAGCGTAATGAATTGAATCGGATTAGACCGATAGCATTTCTTGAAAAAAAAAGTTTTGATCATTTTCCTGTTTAACGCAAATTCTGTAAGTATCCTACAAGTATAAACAGTTGACTTGAACCATTTTTTAATCCATTTAGGCGATTTCTTATTCTGAAAATGTTTTTTTTATGAAATGCTAATGGTCTAATCTGATTTCATTTATTATGCTAAGCTAAGCTAAAGTGACCTCGCCAGCACAAGAAATTAGCTGAATGGACTCAATAATGGTTCCAAAAGTTTAGAAAAATAATAAAAATTTCACAGGAGGGTATATTTCACCTGTATATTACAACAGTTATTTTAATTGGAAACAGATCACTATTGCTGCCTTTACTTGATTTTTGATTAATAAGAGTTTTGATAATTTTCCTATGTAAAGCATATTCTGTAGGTATCCTTCAATATAAACAGTTGACTTGAACCATTGTTGAATTCATTTAGCTGATTCTTTGTTCTGGAAAAAAGCTTTATTGTTTTTAATGAAATGCTAATGGTCTAATTAATTTCCATTCATTATGCTAAGCTAAGCTAAAAGTGACCTCACCAGAACAAGAAATTAGCAAAATGGATTTAAAAATGGTTTCAAAATATGTGGGGAAAAAAATGTTGATTTCATAAGAGGGTATATTACAAGTGTGTAGTATGATAGTTACTTTATTTGGAACAATATTCCATCACTTTTGCTGTCGTGACTTGATTTTTGATTTAGCTTTAGTGAACATAGAAATTTCTTTCAAAAACATTAAAGAAAATCTTTGGTATATGAGTTGTGCTGTTGTGATAGATCTACAAGGGCTATAAATAAGCGTGTTGTAACCAGTATTGTTTTTATTTTATTATTATTATTCAGGCTGTCACAGTGATGTGGAGAAGATTGTGGATCTTGCCTGCAAACACAACGTCTGCTTGATTCCCTACGGAGGCAAGTAAAGCATCAGCAAATGATGCAATCATCAGCTTTAGATGTAATTGACAATCAAAACAGCATCACACATCGTCTTAAAGCAGTCTGCTGCCTGTTCACAGTTTGAATGAACAAACGGCATAATTTCCCTACATTTTACACAAAATAATTAGCATTTTTAACATGAATGAATGAGTGAAACAAAAACATAGGCTATATTAATTTATTGTTAAAGAAATAAACTGCTTTAAGACCTGGTCTCCCAAAAATATTGATCACAACTTTTTTTGCACCTTGATGATGATCATAAATGCATACATTTGTTATATTATTTTTGAAATGTTTAATATTGGAGACTGAAGCAATGATGCTGATAATAAATTACATTTAATAATCTGTTTTATCATTTTATTTTGCAATAATATACAGCAAATTGCACCAGGAAAGTTGTTATCACTTATTATTAACCTTAAATATCGTATCTATCAATGAAATTTTCCTGCCGTGAAACTAGCCTTTGGCGAGGCAGTGGCGCAGTAGGTAGTGCTGTCGCCTCACAGCAAGAAGGTCGCTGGTTCGAACCTTGGCTCAGTTGGCATTTCTGTGTGGAGTTTGCATGTTCTCACTGCCTTCGCGTGGGTTTCCTCCGGGTGCTCCGGTTTCCCCCACAGTCCAAAGACATGCGGTACAGGTGAATTGGGTAGGCTAAATTGTCCGTAGTGTATGAGTATGTGTGTGAATGTTTGTGTGGATGTTTCCCAGAGATGGGTTGCGGCTGGAAGGGTATCCGCTGTGTAAAAACTTGGTGGATAAGTTGGCGGTTCATTCCGCTGTGGTGACCCCAGATTAATAAAGGGACTAAGCCGACAAGAAAATGAATGAATGAATGAATGAATGAAACAAGCCTTTGTTGCTGACGTGCTATTAAATAAAACATCTTCATCATTTTAACATATTTTTTTCTATGTTTCTAATAAAATAAATGCAGCTCTTGGAAACAAAATGATCATTTACACCGGAAAAATTAGTATTCCACACGTCACACTTTTTCTCACAAAACATATTTCTGAAGGTGCCGCTGATGTCAATCAAATACATCCATATATGCAAAGAAAACAAATCCAGATGAAGTTGCATGTAATAAAACGAAATGACGCAGGGAAAAAGTATTGAACACATGAAGAAAGGGAGGTGTAGAAAGGCAGACAGCAGCTGAAATCTCTCAGTAGTTCTTCAGCAAGCCTCTGCCCTTCCTCAGTGTAAATGAACATCAGCTGCTTCAGTCCAACATCTACATCAGCAGGAGGATGAAGATGAACCCAGGGTGGACATTTCAGCAAGACAATGATCCAAAACACAGCCAACGAGACTCTCAGATGCTTTCAGAGAAAGAAAATCAAGCTGTAGAATGGCCCAACCAATCACCTGATCTCAATCCAATAGAGAAAACAGAATAAAATTAATGAACTTTTTTTTAATGAATTTATTCTTGTAGTTAATGGAGTCTCTTAGAGCTGTTGCATTTTGTTAGTTATCTCTATTTGGCGTCTTGTGAATGTCTCCCATTTTGTTTTTATTTAATTTTTAATTCTTTTTTGTATCTTTTGTTTTTGATGCCTCTTATTGTAATTTAAAAATGCACTATATTAAAAAGGTACTCTATTTAAACCCTGTCAGATGTCCATTCCAGTAGTGGACACTTAGTGTAGCGTGATCATTAGTGGGATCGGACCTTTGGACTGGATCGTTGCCTTACTCTCTCATATATTGTGGTGTGTTCAGGTGGTACGAGTGTGTCCAGTGCTCTAGAGTGCCCTCAAGAGGAGACGCGTTGCATTGTTTCTTTAGACACGTCTCAGATGGTGAGTGGAGACACATACACACACACACACAAAATTACGCACAGACACAAAGACACATACACACACAAGCACGTTCAAAATACACCCAGATGTGCACACTCACACACACTTTTACAAACATACACACACAAACACGTTCACATGCACAGACGTGGACACTCAAACATACATACATACACACACACACACACGTTCAATCAAACACTCTTATAAACGCACACACATGCTCTCTCTCTCTCTCTCTCTCTCTCTCTCACACACACACTCAACCTCTCACGCACACACACACACACACACACACACACACATGCAAAGATGCACACACGTTCACACACATGCATGCAAACACACACAAGCACACGTTCACATACACACAAACTTACACACACCCGTACAAACATAAACACACATGCTCTCTCTCACACACACTTTCACATACATGCAAACACAAGTACACACACACAAGCACATGCTTAGAAACACACAGACGTGTACACTCAGACACTCGTACAACCCACACACTCACACTCACACACAAGCACATGCTTACAAACTCACTGACGAGCACACTCACAGACACTAAAACAAACATACACACACACACACACACACACACTTAGCCCCTCACGCACACACACTCGCATACATGCAAAGACACACACTCAAGCACACATACACACAGACATGCTCACTCACACACACTCTTACAAACACACACACTCTCTCACACACACTTAGCCTCTCACGCAAGCACACAACCGCACACACACACACTCAGACTCTCAAACAAACACTCTCACTCTCTCTCACACAAACACATGCCCCCAAATACACAAATACATGCTCTTTCTCACACACACACACACTGACCTCTCTGTGTCCTGTGGGCTGAGCTCAGTTATGTGTGGGCTGAGTTTAACAGCAGTGAATCAGTTTGACATGTGCTTTGAAGGAGACCTGAGCACACACACACGCACACACACGCTTTAATCAATCCCTCAGCTTTCATTCGAGCACATCACTGACACTGTAACCTTCTGTGCACATGCTCATATCCTCTGTGGTATTCTAGTGTATCTGCTGCGTCTTATATTATAGCACATTCTGTGTGTTTTCATCTATTCTAAAATGCAAAACTGACAACACTGATGCACTATTAAAGCTGCAATATAGATGTAATTTGTTTAATTGTTATATTTATGTCTACATGGTGTGTATGTGGCCTATGCAAGTGCAAGAATTCTCCAGGAATGGTTTTATGTGCTCATTTACTGACCTAGACAGAAGCGCTAGAGTGGAACGCTCGCTTTTGACCATATTTGGAATGGTCAATAATGTAAACGATGAGCTGTGCTCTGATTGGCTTTCACACCGCGGCTGTTGTGAATGTTTAAAATTCGAAATGATTGTAAAAATACAACATTGTCAAAAGCTTTAAATATGTGTAGAAATATTATATTAATGATTAAAATACAAGATTAGAAAGAAGTTAGCCTAACAATTTAAACTAGTGCCGTCTAATGACTAATCGGTGTTAACTCCATCTAAAATAAAAGTTAATGCTTACAAATTATATATTTGTATATTTTTGTGTATATAAATGTATGCATGACTTTATTACTATTAGGGCTGTGCAATTAATCGCAATCGCAAAAAATTCGCAACTTAAGCACACGCAATTTCTAAATCGCAAAAGGCTACAATTTTTTATCTAATAATTTATTTAGAATTTTATTCAGAATGTTTTTGTGCGCATTATATTAATATGTTAACCAATCAGAGCTGACGTAGCACACCGGGCAATTACAGCTATTATGTTAACCAGCTGACTCTGACGAAGTTGAGTGGGAGAACCGAATAGGCGAGCAGGAGGAAAGAACATTAAATATGGATGCAGGTCGAAATAAAAATGATTTAGTGCCAAGGAGAAATTCAACGACAGTCATTTTGGAGTATTTTGGATTCAGGAGAGAGGATGTGTCACAGAGTAAGGCAATTTTCAAGACTTGTGAAATGATTATTCCAACAAAACGGAGCAATACTACAAATCTGATCCAACACTTAAAACAGTGATCAATGCATGTCGACAAAGTCCATCAAAACAAACAAAAGCACACATCAAAGCCAGCCCAAACAGACTAAACTAGTATCCATTGTTCAAGCATTTGCAAGTGCCGTGCCGTACGGGAAAGGGTCAAAACAGCACAAAGTAATTACTGACTCAATAGTTTTGTTAAGCACTTCTTGTGCACTGAATGCATTTAGATTGTATGTAGCTTGTTTGAAAAAGCAAAAAAAGTTGCCAAAATCGCAAATAAAATCGCAATCGCAATATTCATTTGTAAAATCGCAATATGATTATTTTGTCCATATTGCACAGCCCTAATTACTATATATAAAATATTTGCATAATCATAATAATCGCATAAATGTGTGTATTTTTTTGTTTTATGTACTAATTATACAGTTGAAGTCAGAATTATTTGGCCTCTTTGATTTTTTTTTTTTTCTTTTTAATATTTCCCAAATGATGTTTAACAAATTCAGGAAATATTCACATTATAATATTTTTTCTTCTGGAGAAAGTCTGATTTGTTTTATTTCGACTAGAGTAAAAGCAGTATTTAGTTTTTAAAAAGCCATTTTAAGGACAATATTATTAGCCCCTTAAAGCAATATTTTTTTCGATAGTCTACAGAACAAACCATCGTTATACAATATCTTGCCTAATTACCCTAACCTGCCTAGTTAACCTAATTAAGTTAATCTAGTGAAGCCTTTAAATGTCACTTTAAGCTGAATACTAGTGTCTTGAAGAATATCTAGTCTAATATTATTTACTGTCATCATAGTAAAGATAAACTAAATCAGTTATCAGAGATGAGTTATTAAAACTATTATGCTTAGAAATGTGTTGAAGAAATCTTCCCTCCCGTAAACAGAAATTGGGGAAAAAACTAAACTGGGGCGAATAATTCTGACTTTAACTGTATATTATATACGTATATATTATATATTAGTATATTTCTTTGTACAGTATGTATTTTATGTATAGTGTGTGTGTATATTTATTCATATTTACATAAATATACACAATACACACAAATATATTAGGTAAATACAAACGTTTGGATGCCATTAATCTTTCGGTGGCACTGAATAAACAGTGTAATAAATAAGAAACTGTAAGTGTTTATCATTATGTATCATTAATACTCAGAAACAAACATTTGCTGTCAGCTGGGACAGATTTTTAGTATTTAATGTTAATTTTTAATCATTATTTGTTTAGAACCGAATATTGTGGATCGATGAGAAGAATCTGACGGCTCATGTGGAGGCAGGAATCATCGGGCAGGATCTGGAGAGACAGGTCAGTGACTAACAAACAGGGTAAAGTACAGGGCGGGTCGTTTATATGGATACACATTAATACAATGGGAATGGTTGGTGATATTAACGTCCTGTTTGTGGCACATTAGTATATGTGAGGGGGCAAACTTTTCAAGATGGGTGGTGACCATGGTGGCCATTTTGAAGTCGGCCATCTTGGTTCCAACTTTTGTTTTTTTTTTCAATGGGAAGAGGGTCATGTGACACATCAAACTGATTGGTAATTTCACAAGAAAAACAATGGCGTGCTTGGTTTTAACGTAACTGTATTCTTTTATGAGTTATTTACACGTTTCAGACCACTTATAAATTGTGTTCAATGTGCTGCCCATTGTGTTGGATTGTCAATGCAACCCTCTACTCCCACTCTTCACACACTGATGGCAACGCCACAGGAGAAATGCCAGCACAGGCTTCCAGTGTACGTAGTTTCAGGTGCCGCACATCTGCACTTTTAAGGCATAAAACTATTAAGGGATTTATTATTAATAGAATCAACTATTGATCATGGGAATTCGTGGAAACCGATATGTTTAATGTCTGGGTGATTCCAGAAGATATTTTCCAAAAACAAATAATTTAATGAAACAATTTTAAATACTAACGCGCATCATCTGTAGAAAATAATGTTTATTTGTGTATTCGGGGACATTTTGTCTTGAAAATATGAACTTAAAGATTAACGAGAAGCAACGTTTAATAATGGAAACAGAGAAAATGCTGGAAATGTAGCCGCAATTCTGGAACGAGTCGCAAATAAAACAAGCAAACTACCTCTTTTACTGTTATACTGACACGCACACACACACACACACACACACACACACACACAGCAGATGGTCCCATCAAGCTAATGTCGAAAAATGGCCCTGGTGCCACTGGTGAGCTGTAGCATCGTGTGTGTGTGTGTGTGTGTGTGTG